TAGTAATGTAAATTAAAATTGTGTTCATTCTCTCAGAGTCTAATTAAGCATTTATGTAACTTGTGAACTGCTGCAGATCACTCATGTAGATTTTCTGGAAAACTTAAAGATCTAAAACTAAGAAAGGTCCCCCATTCAAAAGTGATGTGACTTTTGCAAATCTTGAAATGTCTTCCTTTTTCCTTTGCATTTTGAGAGTTTGGGGGTGGGGGGGGGGGGGGGGGGGGGGTAGAGACAATAGGAGTGGGAGGTTAATTCTTTGGATACTAATCCATGTGGTTAGGTATTGATGTTGGATCCTTAAAACTATATTCAGTTTTTTATTATTATTATTTTGTTTTTGGACAACATGAATGTATGGTTTTCAAGACAGGGCACTAATGATGGTATGGGCACAATTCCTCAGTACACAAGAGGATCTTATACTGCATGTGCTTCATCTCCAGATTTCTGACACATGAATTCTTTTTACTGCTCTCGGTTTTTTTTTTTTTTTTTTTTTTTTTGAAAAACTCTCGGTTTTTGTTTGTATAGTTTAATTCTTCCAACACATTAGGACAGCTGGATGGAGAGTGTGTGGTGTCCTTTGCATTCATTAATTCAACTACTGCAGTCCTCTTACATTATTGAGAAAGAAATAAAGATTGAAGAATATACTCGACTGTAAAAAAGGCAATAGAAATTAGAATTAAGCAGTTGTGTACAGTTTTAGCCACCAATACTAAGAATCTAATGTTTTCTTGGTTTAGGAAAAGGCATTTGCAATCAAGTTGTTCATTCTGGAGTAATGTAGTTATGGCTGCTTCATCCGTTTAGTTCTAGGATTCGTTACTAAAATGTAGTACAAGAAACCATATTGTCTCGACAGTTGACTTATGTAAAGATAATTTCAGGAATGGATTACAGCAAAGAAGGAATTCATGGCAGGATGGGGTTTATGGTACCACCTGTCCCATTCCTCCTAGGAAAAACTTCACTTATATGCTCCAAGCGAAAGACCAGATAGGTAGCTATTTCTACTTCCCATCTCTTCGAATGCACAAGGCTGCTGGAGGGTACGGTGCCATAAGAATCTACAGTCGTCCTCTCATCCCTGTACCCTTCGCCCCTCCTGCTCGTGATTTTACTGTTTTAGCCGGAGACTGGTCCAAGAGAAGTTACAGGGTAAGTGCATCTTCTAGCAAATAATGTTAGCACACTCTAGAACTAATGGCTTTTGTGGCGTTTGCAGCAACTCGAGTATATCTTGGACAGTGGTCATAATCTCCCGTTACCCGATGGACTTTTAATCAATGGTCGTGGCTGGAATGGCTACACATTTACTGTTGATCCAGGTCGGACATACAGATTCAGAATCTCAAATGTTGGGATTGCTACCTCGATTAATTTCAGAATCCAAGGACACAAATTGAAGCTGGTAGAGGTTGAAGGATCACACACTGTGCAAAGTACATTCACCAATCTCGACATCCATTTAGGCCAATCATACTCGGTTTTAGTCACAGCAGACCAGCAGCCGAAGGATTACTATGTTGTAGTTTCGTCGCGTTTCACTTCTCGTGTACTCACCACAACAGCTGTTCTCCACTACAGCAATTCATTTACGAGAGTCTCGGGGCCTCCCCCGGGAGGGCCTACTACTCAGATTAACTGGTCCTTGTTCCAGGGAAGATCTCTAAGGTAATTTCAATTCTCTTCTTAAAGTGGTTTGTTGTCAAGAATCAAACTTCATTCTTAAAAATAAAATTGTGAGAGCAGGAGGAATCTGAGTGCGAGTGGACCAAGACCGAATCCTCAAGGCTCATACCATTATGGAATGATAAAACCGGCTAGGACAATCATGCTTGCCAACTCTGCTCCTTACATAAATGGCAAGCAGAGGTATGCTGTGAATGGTGTCTCGTTTGTGAATCCAGACACCCCTTTAAAGCTAGCAGATTACTTCAAAATCGGGGGAGTCTTCAACCTCGGAAGCATCCCTGACTCACCGAGATGGGGATCTGCCTATCTTGCAACCTCGGTTATGGATGCTAACTACAGATCTTTCGTGGAAATCGTGTTCCAAAACTGGGAGGACACTGTCCAGTCCTGGCATATCGATGGATATTCTTTCTTTGTCGTCGGGTAACTTCACTTCACTCCTCCCAATAACTAACAACAAATTAAATCAACCCATATAGTCTTGTCACATTTCTGTATATGAAATTCACAGAATGGATGGTGGACAGTGGACTGAAGCAAGCAGAACGCGTTACAACTTGAGAGACACAGTTGCCCGATGCACTGTTCAGGTTCGTTAAGAAATTCGTTTCTTTCTTATACTTATGTAGTAGTCAGTGTCACGTTTGGATGACAGGATGCTGGACTCGACTCTCTGATCCAACACATAGGCTTATGAACTTGTTTGATAACATTTAGGTGTACCCAAGATCATGGACTGCTATCTACATGGCACTGGACAATGTGGGAATGTGGAACATAAGGTCTGAGGACTGGGCAAGGCAGTATTTGGGACAGCAATTTTACTTGAGAGTTTACACTTCTACAAACTCATATAGGGATGAGCTTCCAATCCCCAAGAATGCTCTTCTCTGCGGTCGAGCAAGAGGACGCCATACCAGACCACTTTAGATTGAACCAGAAAAACGTACTTGAGTCTGTCACGATAATGTGACCGGGGAAATGCCATCTACAGCAAGAGGAATGAAGGAAGCCAGAAAATATGTTAGGGGAGCTCAACTCGAGCTACAATCTAATTCTTTGTAATTTTTCATGATGCTTTGGTGGAAGCTATAACAACAAATAATTTGTGAACACAATATTTAATTCTGGAATAAATAATTCTATTTGTTAGTTAATTTAAAAAATTACTATTTAATTGTTCATTTAATTACTCATAATAAATTCTGTGTATTATATAGCTGAATTAATGTTCATAATGCACAGAATTCATATTTATAATGCACACAATTCATGTTCATTATATCGTGTTTATGTGTGTGTATTATGAACATGAATTTCATATATTATAAAATCAAATTCTGTGTATTGGAACAGACTCTACCGTACATTGTGAATCTTGGTCCACGGTATAATTTGCCCTCGCAACCAGGGTGAATGTAGACACCCCTAACGCACCTCGACCCATTATTATTTCTACTATTTAATTTCATTATATATTTTTCAAATTATTAGCGAATTCGCTTGCCAACACGTTTTAAAAACGGTACTCAATTGTTAGTTCCAACAATGCATTAATTATTTTACTTAATATAAAATACAAATTATAATGATAATAAATCATTAATAATTTATTTTGAAAAGTACACAACATTAGAAGTAATAATAACAGTATGATACTTTATTAGTTGTCTTTACCGGAAAGTAATTACTCCGTAATAAATTAGTTTTGACCATAAAACTTTTTCTTAATGTGACAGATTATAAAATGAATGTTAATTGTTAAATAGGGTTCATGATATATTACATAATCACATTATATTGCTTAGATACTACCTGATTCATGTTATTACATAATCATCATTGTTATGTTTACATTACAATATTACATGTCTTTATTCGATTTCAAAATATGTGTCATTTCTTCTTCTTCTTCTTTTTCTACAAAAATTTTAAATTTCCAAAAAATTTCTTCGAATTTATTTATTTTTATCAAGAGTTTCATTCTTTAAAAATGTTAAATTTGAAAATATAACGGTAGAACTGTTCACTTTATTATATAATACTCCGTATTACTCATTGTTGTTGTGTTCTCACAATAAGTGACAATTGGATAAGGCCAGGGAAACACATTTCTCTTGCATCAATATGAAATGGGCATGAATTTAATGTTCTTTGCAATGTAATTAGTAGTAATTGTCATAATAATTGAAGCATGTGCTCCATCTCAACTAAAAGCAACACTGACTTTGATACCAAATTGAAGCATGTGCTCCATCTCAACTAAAAACCTAAGCTAATAGTTGGATTGCATGTTAATGGCTATATGCTCACAATAATAACACGCGGGGACGAGTACATCACATCAATTTGAAATGAAACGTGAATTTGTAAAGATTAATAATTTAATATTGTTTAAAATAATGTACTCCATCTGTCCCATTTTATATATGCTAATAATTATTCATTGATCAATTCAACACTTTTTTCTTTATTTATTTTCTTTAGTATTTTTTTAAACTTATTTTTAAATTTGATTTTTTGTATTTAATGGTACTTTTAGTGTAATTTCTAAATATATAAATTTTGTATACTAATACTAAACTTAATTAAATTAAAAATTAAATTAAAAATAACTTCAGTCAAACTTCATTAATCGAATTAGACACATAAAATAAGACGGATGGAGTAATAAATAAAGATGTACGTTAAACACCTTATCACACTTATGTGGATCCTATGGACTAATTATGAGTCTTATCACTCTTATGTGGGCCCTATGTGCTAATTGTGTGTCTTATCACGCTTATGTGCACCCTATATACTAATTGTGCAGGATCCAATGTAGCTTTCAATGAGGTGATGAGTCCAACATGCATTCTTCATGCACTCTTTATCTGTCTAACCTTACGAAATGCATGTATATCCAATGCTGGTTTTCTTTTTTACATTTTTTTTTTTAACTTTTAAAAAGAAACATTATCATGTTATTGCATATATATAGATCAGAAAATGTTTTAATTTGTTCCCTCCTAAAATTCATTCACATAGCTTATAATCATTTGGTGTCATGAATTTGTTGACATCAGTAACTTGTTATCAAAGACTAAATCATCTAATAAAAAACTGTCACGTAAAGAGAGGAGATTAAAAGGAAAAAGTTTTGGAGAGGTGAATAGCGCAGCATTACTCTTACAAACATGGTAGAACTTATCTGAGGTTTAATTTACAGCAAATGCATTATGCATGTACACCACTATACCATCAGTCCATCATGCTTAGCTTACATGCATCCCTCACTCATTATGCATCTATGTTGCCTTATTTAAACTCTTCACTTCTTGCGAATTGGCCACAAAGGTCTTCATCAAATCTTAAACCTCCCTTCTCAACTCTATTAATAGTTTAATTAGTTAGCCATCTCCACTTAAAAGAGTTAAAAGTCTTGACAAAAAACCTCTTTAGTCTTCATCCATGAAATGCATCCAATTGAGATATTCCATGGTGGATGACCAATCTTTCTCCATTGAACTCATCTTTGTGACGTCGTTAATTTGATGAAAACCATAATAGATCTTATAGGATTGGACTTTGTGAGAAATCGAAACACCTTCAATCTAAAGGAAGTGTCGATCTTCATCACCTCTAGTCTTCTTCAATGTAGCTGAACAACTTGGAGGGAGAAAAGGTAATCAATTTCATGCACATAAATTTATTTCTCATCTTCAATTGTTTCATAGATCGAATTCTTGATTTTAAGGAAAGAAAAATATTATACCGTAAATTTTGAAAAGTGTAACATATCTTTTGTTAATATCACTTTTATATGGAAAGTTTTTCAATGGACCGTGAGTTTCTATTTGATATTATATTCTATCAAATCAATCTTCATCCATTTAGCTCATCTTTGTGACGTTACGTTGTTAGATGGAAATCATAATAGATTTTATGGAATTATTTTTGAGAAATCGGAACACCATCAATTCGATCAAATGGAGTGCCAATCTTCATCACCGCTTCTTCAATGTAGTTGAAAGACTTGGAGGAAAGAAAGGTAATAAATTTCATGCACATAAATTTATTTCTCATCTTCTATTATTTCATAGATAGGTTATTTAATGCTGGTAAAATTGAGGAGAATAATGTATGGTCTTTTTTTGTTAATATCACCTTTATATGAAGAGCTTTTCAATGAACTGAGTTTTTATTTGTCATTATAATCAATCAAACTAATAATAAAAAGCATTAATTAAATAGAGGACGCTCTTTAAAAAAAAATATATAAAAATAACGTTAAAATACTTTTTTTTTTTTTTTGAATGCAATATACTTTTTGAATACACACACAAAAATAATGTACGTATATATACTCGATTTATTTTTCACAAAATAAAGGGAGAGAAGTATTTTTGCAATATGTAACAAATACAAACAAAGCCTTCTCAAATTTTGTGCTTAAATTTGTTTGAAATTTGTCATTCTTCTTTTAGAACAAATCTTTACAATATAATAGTTTCATTTTGGACTAGGGTCCACCAAACCTTGGACCCCTGGGCCCTGGTCCATGACATAACATTTGAGTCTTCAAAATATTGACTCAATTGTAAATATTGTAAATATTGAAAAGGAGGTGGGACCAACGAGGCCAACGCATCCCACCCTATTTTAAGAATAAATTAAGTTGTAAATTTAGTGACATGTTAATAAGAGGTAGGCAAAAAAGAATTAGTTCATAGATTTTAATGGGATAGGCGATTATATCAGCCCACTTTATATAAACAAATAAAGTAAATGCTAATTCACTAATTGAGAAAACCATTTCATTTTAAAATGAATGAATGCAGTGAACCTTGAAAAGTAATTATTGATTTTATGAATCTTTGGATATTAATGTACATGCAATTGTTTTTAAAAAAATGTACATGCAATTATTACTCTTATTAGTAATTATATGTTTTCTGCATATAAATAAATAAATATATTTTTAAATTTGGTAAGCTAGCTAGTTTCCTATGTTGTTATCATATGAATAGAGTAACTCTTACAATATTCGTATTATGATAAATATTTCAACATCTTGCTATGTTATTTTATGTTTAAAAAATTAGTAGTGAGTTTGCTTGTCCAACTCCATGCCTCAAGATAGTTAGGTTGGATTGAGTTGAGTTTTTCTTGACCCTAACCATGGCCCGACCCAGTCCAACCCACCAACTAATTCTGATCATTTTAGACTCATTGTTAGTTCCAATCATGCATTAATTATATTTTCAGGCACTTATAACAAAGATCGACAATAAATAAACAAAATGTAATTCCTTAAAATGACTAGGATGATGAGAAGTGATGGATTACAAGAGTACAGGATCTAAGTATATGTATGTATATATATATATATATATAAAAGAGGATACAGAGGGAGATTAGGATTGAGAATCATAAGCATATTCAAATACATAGATAGGGTTCTAATACTCCCCTTGAGCACAGGGTACAAACATGACATGTAGCTTGTCTTTAAGAAAAGAAAACCTAGGACCTGCTAAAGCTTTTGTAAATATATCAGCAAATTGATCTTTAGTCACTAGTACATAAATAACTCACTAGTGGAGATAAAGTTAACTTGAATCTCTCCCTTGGTAATAAATAACTCACAAGATTCGGATCACTGTCCATCACCAGAATGTCATCAACATAGACAAGAAGATAAGATAAACATGAGTAGAATTCTGGGAGTAATAAAATAGTGACACATCTGTTTTCGATGCCTGGAATTCAATGGACAATAAAAATGCATGAAGGCAGTTAAACCAAACTTTTGGAGTTTGTTTCAACCCATACAAGGATCTCTTCAACAAATAGACATGATTAGGAAATTGATGAGTCTGCTTATGATTCTCAAATAAATAGATAAAGTCCTAATAAGGATAAGTTTACAATGTTGGTATTATGATAAATATTTCAAACACATTGGTATGTTATTTTATTTTTTAAAAACATTATTAGTCCGTCTTCTTGTCCAACTCATGACTCGAGATGGATTGGATTGAGTTGAGTTTTTCTTGACTCGCCAAAATGGCTAACCACTGCGTGACTCAGACTGACTCACCAATAAATTTTGACAATTTTAGACTCGATTATGATAAATTTCAATTAAAACCGTCGAAATAGTCCAGAAGTTGAGGATGACCAAAATTCACCAACTAATTCTGACAATTTTAGACTCATTGTTAATTCTAACCCTGCGTTAATTATTTTTTAATTAGGCACGGATAACCAGGATAATAATATATAAACAAAAAGTAGGCAACTATCATTAACAATTGTAATATCATTGCTGCTTGAGAAATGAGAAGTTGACTTTTACCGGAAAATAGTAAAGCCAGTCTTGAGAATGGAATTTTGTTTACGATATTGCCATATTGGTGTTCTGTTTGATGAATTCCATGCACCAGCTTTTACGGTTGAGCTCCAGTTAGCGCATGCAGCATTACAACAATTAAATTTGGATTTACTACATACACATTTAATTAAGAAAAGGCATCCGATCTGATCTGACAGACATACTATGTTGTTGGGTCCGATCGATCCGCCTATTTAAGCGGTCGTGCTGTGGTGAAGTTGCCTCATTCCTCTTCTTCACTGCACACTTCTTCTGCTTAGTCGTTCTAGCTCCCAAATCCGCCATTGTTATTCTCTGATCTTTCTTGAGAGCTTAGCTTAATTAGCTTCCATGGCTGAAAACGTTTTTCCTTCATCCTCTTCCTCTTCCCTTTCCGTTCAAGGAACCATTGAAGGTGGGCAGTCTTCCTCCTGTCCTGAAAACCCTACTGGAACCAGGCTGATTTATCCACCTCGCTTCAAGTGGACTCCTGATCTTCATCGTCGCTTCTTGGAGGCTGTTCAATTTCTTGGAGGACTGGAATGTATGTAACCATGCATTTCCCTTCACCACCTTTAATTCAATTTTACAAAAAAAAATTCTGAATTTCTTTTAATCATTTTGCGTTTCTTTTTTGATGAAGGTGCAACTCCTAGAACAATTCTTGAAGTGATGGATGAAAAGGAGCTAACCCTAAATCGGGTTAGGAGCCACCTCCAGATTCACCGCGCCAACTGTTTCGATCCGGAGCAACTGGCCATAGGTATATATGTTACTTCAATTCCTCCATGGCCAAATCTCCATTTCTTCCATGGAGAAAGTGTTTAGATTTGCTAACAAATTAAAGAGCTAATATATATATGCATGTGGTTTAATTTAATTCTTGTTCAAGAAACTCAAGCTGCATTAGCTCAGCTGGCGTGGGCGGCCAGCCTTCCCTATCCGTACGGTTACCCCCCGCTGTATAGCGCTTCTCCTCCGCCTCCGGCGGCGCTATACTCACTACCGTTATGGCCACAGCTGCCGTCACCACCTGCAAGACTATACATTGGCCCAGTGGGGCCGATGCCCCCCACCATTCCACCCTCAATGAGGTAATTACTATACGATGATGATGATTTCTAAAAATTTGAGTGTTTATATAATAATAATTACAGTTTTTAGCATTACTAACATTATTTTACCGGAATAAATGGTGGACAGGATGATGGAATACTCAGCCCCGGCGGCGCCCAAAACTATCATCTTCAAGAAGTTGTTTCCTAAGGGCAGACCGGTGCCGGTAAATAACAACAAATAATTCAATTCACTATTAAACTATTTTAATTAATGACCAAAAACCAATAAATTTTAATTTGTTTGGTTTACTTTCTTGAATAACGCATGCATATATTCTTGATTTACATTTCTTGAACAGATTGATGTTGATGAGACACCAGAATTGATGATGGCTGGTGATCATATAAACTCAAGACCATCTTCCTCAGCTGCAAGGGAGGAGGGTCAAGACGATGACCCTCTTGATCTCACGCTCTCCATCAGACCTCCCAGCTGTCGATGATCTAATCTGATGGTTCCAGGCGAAATTAAATGCCTGAATTTCTTTTCCTATATATATTTAGCCCTAATTATATATGTACATATAATTAACTTGCATTAGGCGGGGGCTTTCAATTGTATGTATATATGTAGCCTAGCTATTTTTGTGTTTGTAGTGCATGTAATATTCCATCTTATTTGTGATTTAAAGGCAATTAGAGCTGCTTTGAGAAGTTATGATTAATGCATATATGATTTAAGTTTGAAAACTATATATATTGGAATATTATTATTCATAAGTTGTCCAAAAATTACACAATTTATGCACAAGAAGTTAAGTAAAATTCAAAATTAACACACAAATCTAAGGTTCCTTAATTGAACCTGACAATTAAGTCAAACATTAAACAAGGTTTAGTTTTCGTAATTGAATTTAATGTTTTAACACCCTAAGATCCTCATAATTTGAAGAAAAGAAGATGTTATTATTCTTGAGATGTCTAACAAGATTACCCAAACGCATAATCCAACCAATTATTAGTTTGCACACAAATAAACATCAAACTAGCTAGTAACTCAAAGTTGCAATAAGCTAAGTAATGTATATAGAAGAAGGTTTTAGAACTCCTCAACTAGAACAAAATAGAGATGATCAATATTTTACTTTTCAAATGTCCCCTAAAATAGAAAATATACTTAACATATTCTAGTTTAGAGAATATATATTCCTAATATATTCTAACCATACAAATAAAGATAAGAGTAAACTATAACAGAGTAGGACAATACCAAATTGGCACCATGTAACTTGCTATCGTTTACTAGTAGCAACTTCATTACTTAACTATTCAAGTAATAATTAATTCAAAATTGCAATAAGAAATGTCGAAGAAGGTTTTAGGACACCAGGGCTAGAAACTAGAATAGAATAGGGACAATACCAACATTTCGTTTTTCAAAAAAGTTTCCTACAAAAGTTTGAGACTTGTCTTATATATATATATATAGGCTACATCAAATTAAACGTACCCGGATATAGAGAATATTCCTAAAATAATCTAGTCTATAGAATACAATAAAACCTTTTTTTCAATACAAGAAAAGAAAAGAAAAGAACTAAGAAGACAACTAAGAAAACAAATTACATGAAACAAAACCGTTTCTAAAAGTCATATTGTAACATTCACACAAATCATATCTTACTTGAGGAATAATCATAATTAGGTTGGTCATGAAGTTGAGATGCTGGGAGGTTTTGATTGAATATAGTTGGGCATTTGCATGATGTTCCAGATTGAGTCTAATGCATGCAAGAATTAAATTATGTTGTTCCTAACTTTCACCTTCATGTATCAGATTTACAGTGTGGAATTCATCTATATAAAGATCAGCGAAATATCCGATCATGCAACATTCTCATCCCAAAACATTTCAATTCCACTGGAAATGGCGACTAAAGTTCTCCTTTTAATCCTCGCCGGAGCCCTTGTTTGTGCCGCAAATGCTAGTCCGGGCAGTGAGGGATTGGAGAAGAAAGGTATCAATGAGGAACAGAAAAGTTTCTTCCACTACAAATATGGCTTTCCTCCCTTCTTCGGGAATGTAGGTGGTGGAGGAGGAGGATCTGGGTTCGCCGGAGGGCCGAGTTTCACCGGAGGTCTTGGTGGCGGTATGGGCGGCAGTGGCGGCATGGGCGGCGGCGGGGGGTTTCCTACCCTAGACATCGGCGGTGGTGCATCGGGCTTTGATCAACCCGGATCCGTGGGTGGGTTCGGGTCTAGCTTCGGAGGAGGGTTTGGCGGTGGTTCCTCGGGTTTCGGTGCTGGACCTGGGTTTGGCCTTCCCGGTGGCTCATCTGGCTTTGAAGCCGGAGTAGGTGGGACCGAAATGGGGTCTAACTATGGAGGGTTTTCTGGAGGCTCATCATCGCCGTTTGACGCTATAGGTGGAGGTCCCGCAGGCCCATTTGGGACTAGACTTGATGCGGGCCCTGGAGGTGCCGCCGCCGGAGGCAGCAATGCCGGTAGTAGTGTGCCCCCTGCGGAAATTATTGGCAACGGCGTGTAGCTATATGATCTTCAATTCGTCTCTATGTGCCTTTTCTGATTTCATCACAACTATGTACTAATTAACAATTGCATTAGGACTATTATATTAGGGCTTATAGCTTATTTTTAGGTAAAAATAGGTTATACGCTCTATTTAGTAAAATATAGGAAGTTTAAAATAATAATTTATTTTGAAATGCTATCTTAAGTAGCGTTTTAAAATATGTTACTGCCTTTTTTTTTTTATAACTTTTTTTCCCTTTTTATTTATAGTAATTTACAAGAATGACAGTGCCTACCTTTCATTAATTAAAATTAATATATTAGTTCATCATTTTATGGTCCTGTTTGGTAAAATATTAGTCTATTTGTTAATTTTGGTTTATTTGACCACTATTAATTGTTTGATTTGATTAAAAATCAACTTCAAAATGCTAAAATTCAAAAAGCTGCTCGAAGCAACTTTTTCAATTAGCTTTTTGAAAAAAGAAATTATATCAAACAGTCTATCGGCTAACAACTATTTTACTAAACACATTTCTACAATCAGCTAATGTTATCAACTAGTTATACCATCTAATTAACTCAATCAGCTAACAGTGATTTACCAAACATGACCTATGTCTTTTTACACTTATAAACTAATTCAGTAATTAATTTTACTAAACATTTTAATTTCAATTAATTAACTTTTCAACTGTGAAAGTCAAACGAACAAAGCCTATAACTATATGTAAGTAGCTATTTTGTGGTTGTAGTGTAATTATTCGATCTTTATTTATGATTTTAAGACAATTAGTGCTTGGGAAGGGTTATGATTAATGCATGAATTAATTAAATTCAAAACTACATACATTGAAATAATGTTGTTCATAATAAGTTGTCTTAAAGTTGCACACTTCATGCAAGCCAGGGTAAGTTAAAGTAAAACCCTAAACTAACACACAAATACACAATTGTATTCGTTCCTCATTTATGTATAATCTAAAGTTCCTTAATTAACCAAATTAAACAATCAAGTCAAACATTAAACTAATAAGGTTATCCTAATTGGATTAAAGTTTTTGACATTGAATCAAACATTCCATCTTTGAGATGGACAATTAATAAGTAATTTAATCATTTCAAATATTCATTTTAAATCATACAAGATCACATATATCTTAACACCCTAAGATCCTCACATTTTGAAGAAAAGAAGATGTTATTCTTTGAGATGTTTAACAAGATTGCCCAAATGCATAATCCAACCAATTATTAGTTTGCACACAAATAAACATCAACCTAGTAACTCAAGTTCCAATAAGTAATGTAGAAGGAGGCCAATTTTTAAACTCATCGGCTAAGATGGAATAGAGATTAAATGTTTCACTTTAAAAAAAAAAAAAAAAGTTATATTTAAAAGTTTGAGACTTGTCTTAATTGTAAAGGCTACATTAAACGTGCCCTAAGAATATATATTCCTATCATATTATAGCCTAAGATAAGAATAAATTAAGTAAAAGAGGATTATTATTACAAAGAGGGGAAATTAAAGAACAAGTGGCACCATGTGGAGTCGCCATGTTGCACCAAACTCGCTATTGTGTACTAATAACAACTTCATCTCTTAAGTTTCTAATTAGTATGTAACTCAAGATTGCAATAAGAAATGTAGAAGATGGTTATTTTCGGTCTACTTGGCTAGAACAAATAGGACAAGATGAACACTTTGTTTAAAAAAAATCTATAAAAGTTTGAGACTTGCCTTATATAGGCTACATAAAACGTGCACTAGAATAGAGAATACTCTTAGCATATTTTAATATTCTAATATTACAGTTATAAATTATAATATAAGAAAACATAACTTTATAAGAAATAAGGTCTCTTTTTCTATACAAGAAAAGTAAGTAAAGAACTAAGGAAAAAACAATGAAAACAAATAACATGAAACAAAACCGTTTCTAAAAGTCATATTATTGTAACAACAATATTCACACAAATCATGCATGTTGGCCTAAAATGTGAGAGAGTAATTAATCTGTGACATATATAGTAATTTGTAGCTATGGAAGCTAGCCCATCTTAGTTGAGGAATAATTATATTGGCATATATAATTAGGTTGGTCATGAAGTTGAGATGCTGGGAGTTCTTGATTGAATATAGCTGGGCACCTGCATAATGTTAAAGATGGACTATAATGCATGCATGCAAGAATCTCTAAATTATGTTCTTCCTAACTTTCACCTTCATGTATCAGATTTACAGTTCGGAAATCATCTATATAAAGATCGGGGAAATAGCCAATGATGCAATATTCTCATCCCAAATCATTTCAATTTCAACAAGTCGTCACTGGAAATGGCGACTAAAGTTCTCCTGTTAATCCTTGCCGGAGCCCTTGTTTGTGCCGCAAATGCTAGTCCGGCCGCCGGCAGTGAAGGATTGGAGAAGAAAGGTGTTGATGATGATCAGAAAACTTTCTTCCACTACAAATATGGGTTTCCTCCCTACTTCGGCGGTGGAGGAGGAGGATCTGGGTTCGGCGGAGGGCCGGGTTTTCTTGGCGGCGGCGGGTTTCCTACCCCAGACATCGGCGGTGGTGGATCGGGTTTTGATCAACCCGGATCCGGGGGTGGGTTCGGGTCTAGCTTCGGAGGAGGGTTTGGCGGTGGTTCCTCGGGTTTCGGTGCTGGACCTGGGTTTGGCCTTCCCGGTGGCGCATCTGGCTACGACGCCGGAGGTGGAAGCGGAATTGGGTCTGGCTATGGAGGCTTTCCTGTTGGCTCATCACCGTTTGGATCGATAGGTGGAGGTCCCGGAGGCCCATTTGGGACTAGACTTGATGCTGGCCTTGGCGGAGGCGGGTCAGCCGCCGCCGCCGGAGGGAGCGACGCCGGTAGTAGTGTGCCCCCTGCAGAAATTATCAGCAACGGCGCGTAGCTATCTACTAAGATGAAAACAAAACAAAACAAATAAGATGAAAGAATATAATTAATTAATTAGTAGCAATAAGAAAAAAAAATAAAAAATAAAACATAAAACAAAAACGTTTGGTTTATTCCCTTTTCAATGTTACGTCTCTTTAGGTTTAATTATTATTAGCTTAATTACATCGAAGAAAATGTGTACTCTGATATTTGTTTTAATTTAATAATATCACACTTCCTTGCCTATGTTGCTATTCACCAATGAATTTTATCTTGCTCATAATAATTTATCATTTAAGTATCAAGTAGTCTACCTATAAGGATCCAACAACCTTTATCTTATTCGGTTAGATTGAAGTAGTAAATGAAGACAACTCTACAAAACAAGTTAGTCAAATAATTAGTTGGTAGGTGTTCCGTAATTAACCATAACAATTACTATTTTTTTTTTAAAGCAAACATAACAATTACTAATTATGATTACTGAAATTTAGAATTTTATAATCTACATAATTTTGACCCTATCCCATTTTAATTATACATTGATAGTAACACATGCCTAAGAATATTAGACTCAACCACATAGGTATACTAGTAATAACACTTGCAATCACGAAGATTAATAAGTTAATAGAAGTAATATGAATATTCCAACGGATTGCCATGACCTTGTGGTCTAGTATTCGTGTTGTTCGGGTGATTATGCATGTCTAGGGCAGTTTTATTTATTTATTTATTTATTTTCTATCTTTAGATCAAATGTCATGTCACAATGGGCTTATAAAGTTAAACTTTGTATGGTCTTGTTATTGAATAGGGTCATTGAACTTATAACATATTAAAGCCACACAAATTTAATTGTAATATTTTTTTATTCACAATACCAAACTTGTCATGCTTAGGAATTGAAGCCAATCCAATTCATACTAAGAGAGTTAGAGACCTAATCCAAAGTTGTGCGAATGGAAGAGTGGCCGGGGTTATAACATTACTAGTTCATTGTCAATTCAATCACCATATATAACCCATTGTATATATACTTCAATTTGTTAAAAAATAAGAATCCATCTAATCATTTCAAATAGATGCATAATCACACTATCAAACCTTGATTGTGGAGTATTGATTCTTTACACTAAAAAAGATTGAAAAAATTAAAACATATATTACATTATAATTAATCATGTGTGTGTCAAAAAAATCAATCTAATCATTTCAAATAGATGCATAATCACATTATCAAACCTCGATTGTGAAGTATTGATTCTTTACACTAAAAAAGATTGAAAAAATTAAAACATATATTACATTATAATTAATCATGTGTGTGTCAAAAAAATCAATCTAATCATTAATCAATTTCCTTTGACTTTATATTTTTGGCATTAAAATTTCTATCTCCACATCCCACAATCATATATTTAACTGTTTAATTATATATATATATATATATATATATATATATATATATATATATATATATATATGTTTGACTTTAACGAAAATGCTAATACGTTGTTGTAAGCTTGTAGTTGTGGGTTGGAAAGAATGTTTCATAATGTGAACAGGACCAGAGTTTACAGGATTGGATGTGGACCATGTGGTCATAAAAATGAGGCCTTCAAACTTATCAAATACGCGGATCCGTAGATTATTATCAATTGACTCCTATTTACTCTTAAAATACAATAAACTTTCTCTTTTTTTTTTTTCATAAAATTATTTTTAGCATTATTATTTATATCAGTCAAAACACATTTTGTCATCCTAGCTAAGTTGGTCAGATTGTTAGCTTGGTAATCACAGATTTTAAATTCGGCTCCACGTGAGTTATGCATAAATAACAAACACCGGTGTAAGATTTATAATTGGTTAGTATAATTAGGCTTAGTAAATCGTGTGTACCTAACAATTGTTTTGACTCTGTGAAATAGTAATATATGATTCATATGGTATATACATTCTTAGATGTACAATAGCTAGTTGTTGACTTCTTGTTGGTCTCCAAGCAACTAGTTAATAGTTATATATGTCGATTGGGTCTTATGGTAGTTATGGGTTGAGAAACTATGGTTTCGTACATGATGGGTCGATCAAAAGACACTTAGCTAGATCGAGTTTAAATCCTTACAGAGCGTTTGGTTGGAGGGATTTTAAATTCCCTTCCCACTTAATTCCCACCTAAATTCAAAGACCATTAAATTCCGTAGTTTGGTTGGAGGGAATTGCAATTCCATGGAATTGCAATTCCCCCATTTTTATGGAATTAAAATCTCATGTCCCCCCTGGTATTTTAATTTTTGAGAAAAAAAGATAGTGATGAGTCAAAATTACCCCTTCCTTTTTTAACCTAAAATTAATGTCTAACAACAATAATGGACATTTTTGACTTTATACTACTTATTCCCTTTCAATTCCCATGTATACCAAACATTGGAATTGAAATTCCCAGTAATTCTATTATTGTCAACCAAACACTGGAATTTAAATTCTCACTTTATTCCTAGTAATTCAACTCCCATGGAATTACAATTCCTTTCCCATATAATTCCCCCTCTCCAACCAAACGCCCTGTTATTGTATAATTAATGGATGATTAATGGCAGCATGAGACATTGTATAGTGCAGTGTTACCAACAAAAAGGCAAAAAAAAAATTGCCCTCAAGCCCAAGTATCCTAGCCTGACAGAATAGTGAAGTGGTATATCATAGTGATTCAATCATTGATTAAGTAAAAAGATTAGCAATCGTTATGCGTTGGACCCGTGTCTAGCATGCTTGCTGGACACGAGTAACAGTGCCGTTAGGCACTGTTATCTCCTTTTTTTTTTTTTTAATTTCAGAGCGCTTCATTGTAAGAGTATATGTTCATAATTTTATTACAATATGTTAATAACTATACATTCATAACTCCATAACTGTACGTTCATAACTCTATAACTGTACATTCATAACTCCATAACTGTACATTCATAACTCCATAACTGTACATTCATAACTCCATAATTGTACATTCATAATTTTCGAAGCTCTATGTTCACAATTTTAGAGCTCTATGTTCATAATTTTATCACTATATGTTCATAATTGTAAGTTCATAATGTTAGAGCTCTTTGTTCATAATTCGATCAATAACTGTACATTCATAATTCCATACTGTAGATTCATAATCTCATAACTGTAGATTCATAACTCCATAACTGTAGATTCATAACTCTATAACTGTACATTCATAACTCCATAACTGTACATTCATAATCTTCGAAGCTCTATATTCACAATTTTAAAGCTCCATGGTCATAATTTTATCACTATATATGTTCATAATTGTAAGTTCATAATGTTAGAGCTCTGTGTTCATAATTTCATAATTGCATAACTGTATATTCATAACGGCATAACTGTACATTCATAACGGCATAATTGTACATTCATAATCAAAAAAACAATAACGCCGTTAATGCCGTTAACGGCAAAACGCGCGTGAATTTTTTTTTTTTTTAACTAAATGACGCGTTTTTTTTTTTTTTTAAAACGACGTCGTTTTGGGCCCGTGTCCACAATGAATTGTGGACACGGGTCCAGGGCATAATTTGCCAAAGATTAGTGTTTGGAGTCACAAAGTGTTATCATAGTCAGTTAAACTTTATATTGTTTCGGTCTAAGTAGGATAAATTTGGCTCTGGGCTTCATGCTGCAATCTGGACATATATACACACCTGATGAGCTCAGAATCTGAGGCGTATATTTCTTACACGCTTGTAAAATAGTTTTTTTTTTTAAATAAATAATATGAGTTTTCGTATTTTAAATGCCATATGTTTCGTATTGAATTCACGTGAAAAATAATTCATTGCTTAATTATTACATACAATATAAAAATTCGAATTAACTCGTAATCTTATGCTGGCCGCCCATATATATATATTAATTGCATATATGGGCGGTTTAATATTCCTTTTGCATGGCCATGTGGATATCACTGTCAAAGTATCAATGATGCCCCGCACAAATTCAAATTTTAGTTGTATTATTTCATGGGTTTATATGAATTATATATATAGAAAGAGTTGAGTATGGTTCATATACGGCCGACCCTCCTGTGCAGCTTGATGCATGTATTTACATATATTTGGTAGTGCAATCACTCCTAAGTGCACCACAAACCACTACTAAGTTCAACACATGACTCTAGCTCAGATATTTTATGTAATGGCTAGTTATATGCTTAATGGTACACCGTACACTTAAATATGCTTGATAGTGCACTTAGATATACTTGATAGGACACTTAGATATGTGCACCACAAATCACACTTCCACATACTAGTATTTTGTATTGCACCACAAATCACTACTAAGTGCATCACATATCACTTCTAAGTGCACCACATGAATAAACTTGGTACACAGACCAACACTTTAAGGTACACCAGAGTTCACTCAAAAGTGTACCACATAGCACTCATAACTGCAACACACCAGAACTTAGTGCACCACCAAAATAGACATGGTACAGTGTAGGAAATTATCAAAATATCACCGTTTTTTTTTCATGATTTTCAACTGATGAAATTTGAAAAGTATTGTTCGGTACTACACTGCTATGTGGTTACGTGGTGTGCAGTACTTAATTAATAGGGTGGTGTGCATTTCAATGTGGTGTTCTATGTGTAGTTGCATTTTCTTTTTAAAAGCTTAATTTATTATTAATAGTTGTTAGTTATTATGAAATTTATGTTATTTAATTTAAATTTTGTTCAAATTTACGTTTTTAATGTTGGATTATTATTATTGTTATTTTTATTACTAGATATTGTCCCGTGCGATGCACGGGATAAATACAATTTTAATAAAAATAAATTGTTGTTTGTAAAAAAAAAAAAGAGAGAAATATTATTAAAAAAAGATTAAATTACAAATTATTAAAAATCTAAAACGACATTAGTAGTAGAAGTATAATTATTTTGGAGTTCACCACAAAGTAATATTTGAGGCCGGCTTTATTATATATATAAATTATTATTACAAATAATAATTTTTAAAATAATAAATAAATTTAGGCCCGCATTGGTAGCTCAGTAGTTCCTATCTTCTTGGGTGCTAGGTTAAATTTCATTATTGAACTCTAGCAACCGCCAACCGCATCATGAAAGTTTTATCCTGCAGCCTCTTATGTGATGATTTCTTTTGGGCGCTAGATACATTAACCCTCCCACTTAATCAGTTAGTGAATCACTATTCACAACTCTATCAACCAAGTGTGAGGGTTATTAGAGTTTGAGATTTTATCTTATAGATTAGTTAAATAAATTTAAAAGAAAAAAAAATTAACATTTTGTTTATTCCTTTTATATATGAAATGAAATTGACCGATGGGATTGCGGGAGTTGCGGAGTGTAACAATTTTGAATTTTTGATACCGATGAATATATAATCAAAAAATTTGTATAAATAGTCATAATTACATCACTAGACACTAGTACGCTGAATAGAATGCAGTGTGGACGAGGTACAGTCCTACGTTGCAACGGTTGGCCCTTTCAACATTCATTCAAACCCTACCGGTTCACCTGTTTTGAAAGTCAATTAATATATCCTTATAGTAAGTCCAAACTAACACATTTGTACTAAGTCTGCGTGATTGCCAAATAATGAAGAGAAGAAATAGTCATCCCCATGCACCTATTCAAACTCTCAACAATAGTCAAATCTCTCATTTTCAAGCCTGTCTTCTTTATATAAATGTCATCCAAGATTCTCCATTCACCCACCAAACCATTCAGCACACCATCTCCAAAGACTCACACTTTTGCTTCTCTCATCTTCTTCAATTCACCCTAAATCAATTTCAGATCGACAGGAGATATCATCGTACCAGATCATATATAATGGCAGGTGTTCAATCTTCAAGCTTCTTGATTTCATCTTCTTCTTCTACCTCATTTTCGCAGAGAAAAGCGATCAGAGCAGCCATTAATTTCCCCAGAATTGGACGGAGAACTAACGTCTCCCTCCCCACTCTTCAGACAAGAGGATTGGTAGAGGAATTAGGGTTGAAAAGTGGGTATACCACCATTACCGAAAACCTCCGACCGACAAGGACGGTTGATGACCAGACCAACGGCGGTCCTGATCCGTTAGTTGTCGCCAAACTTTATGCCATCTTGGAAGCGGTTGCCGATAGAGTGGAGATGCACAAGAATATAGGGGAACAAAGAGACAATTGGAACAGCCTGTTGTTGACCTCCATCAATGGGATTATCCTCGCAGCCGCCGCAATGGCCGGAATCGCCGCTACCGCCGCCGCCGCCGGCGGAGCCGAGGTGGCGCTAAAGCTCTCCTCCACACTAATGTACTTGGGAGCGACAGGGATGCTGACAATCATGAACAAAATCCAACCGTCCCAGCTGGTGGAAGAGCAACGAAACGCGACAAGGCTTTTCAAGAATCTGTACAACGAAATCCAAACAACGTTGTCAATCGGTCACCCCACGGTTAGCGACGTTAAAGATGCGATGGAGAGAGTGTTGGCTCTCGACAGGGCCTTCCCTCTCCCCCTCCTCGGAGTCATGCTCGAGAAATTCCCCGACACGGTGGAGCCGGCCGTCTGGTGGCCGGAGCAGCGCCGGAGACCGGCCCGGAGAATCGGAGGGAACGACTGGAACGGCTGGAACGGGAAGCTGGAGGACGACATGAAAGAAATAACACAAGTTCTGAGACTGAAAGACAAAGAAGACTACCTAAGACTGGGCAATAAAGCCTTGAAAATCAACAAAATTCTAGCCATTTCAGGCCCTCTACTAACTGGCTTGGCCGCGGTGGGGTCTTGCCTGGTTGGATCATCTTCCCCACACAACTCCTGGGCTGCAATCCTGGGAGTGACGGCGGGGGCGTTAGCCAGCGTTGTGAACACATTCCAGCACGGCGGACAAGTGGGAATGGTGCTGGAGATGTACAGATGCAATGCAGGCTTCTTTCATCTCATTGAACAATCCATAGACTCAAACCTTAGTGAAAAGGACATGGAGAGAAGGGAAAATGGTGAAGTGTTTGAAATGAAAGTGGCTTTGAAGCTTGGAAGAAGCCTTTCAGAGCTCAGAGATCTTGCAGCTAAGTCTTCCCACAAGAAACAAAACATTGACGAGTTTGGGAGCAAGCTTTTCTAATTTTTTTTTTATTTTTTATTTTTTCTAACTCTAAGAGAAAGCCTGCAACAGCTACTAAGTCGAAAATATGTATGTAACAATTACTTAATTCTATAGACAGCTTTTACGGGGAGTTAAAGTTGGAAAGCGAATGAATGTATATGAGTCTTAGGTGTAATTGAGTAGAGAATACAATCAATTCAATTATTCATGAAAACATATCTTTACAGATCATCAGAATTGTTTTGGATTGAGATATATTATATTCCTGACAAAATACATACAACAAGATGAGGTTTTGTTTCATGTTCTGTCTTTTATTCTGTCCTACTTGATGGGCAAATTAAAGCTAATTATAATTATTGGATGTAATTAAAAATAGCTAATTAAAGTAGTAAGTACAAATCTTCTTGGTAAGTTTTTTTTTTTTTTTTTTTTTTTTTTTTTGAAACATATTAAAGAGAGAGACACATATATACAAATTACAAGTATTTTATAGGACCAAACCAAACACCATAGTATAATCATAGTTTACAAATGTACGTCTATATATGCCCAGATTCGCAAGTACATCTATCTACTTAAATTAAACCACTCATACATATTAGATAATGGCAGCAAGAAAATGAATAAAGGGATAATAGGGGGCATTAAGCTGCTTCAGCAAATCCAACCCTCATCTTGCCATAATCAAACACAGTGTGGTATCTGCCCATGAAAACATCTCCCAATATCCTACACCAGAAGATCAGACATTGAATAATGGTCGGTTAAGATATCATGATGACTTCGAGGAGTTCGAGGTAACATATAGGACAAATAAAAGAATAATGTACCAGAGAGGTCCGCGAGGAGGAGGGACATCCAAAGCCGTGAAGCCACTAATGCACTGTGCTGCGCTTCCCTCGCCCACCTTCAGTATGTACTGCTCACATAACAAACCACATCAGATCAGAAATATAAGGCAAGGAAAGAGGGTGGGGCACGTATTGGCTAGCTAGTATAAAGTATAAACCATACCTCATTAGGGGAGAGGTCGAACACTTTTCCACCAATTGAGAAGGAAACAGAAGGCATGGTGGAAAGCTTTCCACAGTCGACGCCTGATTCTCCCATGGGGCTCGGTAGCCGGTTGCAAAGCTGCATTATATTATATTATATTCTCGTTTCATATATGAAGTGTTGAGCATATAACCATTAATGTGCAATCCAACTATCAGCTTAAGCTTTTAGTTGAGATGGAACACATGCTTCAATTTGGTATGAAAGCCAGACCGATGGTGGCCTGGGAGCTGAACATGCTCCTATCCAGTACAGAATGAATGTAGTATATATGTATTGTTACCTCATTCACATAAGACAAAATGTTTTCTTGAGTCTGATTCTCGCTAAGTTGATTCTGCATCCAAACAACCGTCATTTCACAAGCCGAGCACATAGCATCATGTAGATCGGCTGATACCCCATTTTTCTCATCTACAACGCTCTCGATTCCCATGCTGCCACAACCAATCAACTTACTAAAATAAGTATATGAACCGAACAAAAAGCCCCACACAGACAAAAATGGGAAGGGAGTGGAATAATCAAACCTAACACCACGGTTTCCATTGAAGGTGCATAACCCAATTTGCGAGCATATCTTCTTTGGACGTGCCTGTTAAAACGCCGATCAGTCAAATAATTCAAGACAGGGAATGTTGTTATCTTGAAAGGATGCTAACCAATAGTTAGTACAGTAGAAAAGCCAAGGTTTACCTCCATTACAAGCAAATCAATCATTCTTTGTCCATAGTTTTCAACCACGGCTTTGCATTCCTTGCTAACTACTCCATCAGCTCCAATGGCGTGATTGATCATGGTAATAATACTCTGCACACCAAAAACACGAAATTCGTTGAGAAAATTAAAGAAAGATGATCATATCAAGCAAATAAAATGGACTCTACAACACATACCGATGGACCAGCTATCAGAGAAGTTCCAGAATCTGCGATTGCAGAACATCCACCACTGCAGAACCCTACATAACAAAAATATATCAGTAAGGTTTTTTTTTTTTTTTATGGTCCCGTTGTATCATTTGCAACAAGCTTCGAAGAAAGAGGAAAGCAAAGAGCATACCAGTTGGTTTACCCTCAATTAGGACTTCACCCATATCAAACTGACAACAAAATAATCAAATCAAATTTAGACGACAAATGCAGATCAGATAATACCAAAGAGATGGATCGGAGATCAGTCTACCTGCCAATAACCTTTCTGTGTCACTGGAACATAGGTGTGTTCCCCTTTGTAGTGTTTCGGGTCAACCCCACCGAACACAAGTTCTCCCCCTTCTTGCTCTTGTGGGTTTCGGTTAAGCCAAAATGAGAAGATAGGGTCCTGAACTAAACCTTGGTTTACCATGTTGTACCTGTAAATAAGAAAGATGTTATTGCAGAAGAGTATGAAACAGCAGATTAGCATGCCCGAAAGACAGAAGAAGATAATGCGGCAATCATACCAAACTGGAACAGCATCTCCAACCGAGATCTCCTGGAATCCAAGACCCAATATGCCATCAAACTTGGCAACCAAAAAAGTCACACCCGGCTCACTTGTTGCCTCGATAAATGCCTGCATGATATATCAACACTGTGAGATTTGAAAAATCCAACATCACGACATTAACGAGACAGGAAGCATATATAGAACCAGATTCACCTGACTTTTTACAACAAGATCACCAACTTGAACGCTATCTTGGCTGAAGAAACCAGATATTGATCCAGTCCCGTAATGAATTTCAGCAGACTTCCCTAATAAGAAACAGTTTGCAATACACAAAAAAGTTAGTTATTTCCATTGCAGGCTGAGCAGAACTCTATGTAAACTAGCCAAACACGAACCATTCTTCTCGTAAGTACTGGATTGGCTAGAGGTGTACTTGGAATGGAAAAAACACGGAACCTAGAACAAAACACTGAGCCATTAGTTAAAACCAAAACATCAGAATTCAGGTTCGATATGACTAGGATATGATGTTACCGAGAAATAGCACTTTGATGAAGGCACCCATAAGTTAGAGCTTCCAGTGTCAAAGATAACAGTAAACTTCTGGGGAGGAGTTCCAACACCAATCTCCCCAAAGTATTGAGCATCCATGTAATTCTTTAGCCCAACAATATCAGTATCCTGTAAATCCCCATTTCTACCATGGAGGTTATAATACTTTCTTACAGACGCCCTAAGTGAGTCTCCCGCCTTGGCTTCAAGCCGCGCAGCAATTCGGTTGTTCTTATCAATTTTCATCTTCTTCAACCCAATTCTCACAAACCCATCATTTGATTTGGAGAATGCCAGCGGAAACACAAGGGATGAAAGAAACAGAGTGACCACCAAAGCTTTCACTCCCATTTTGACCTAAAATTCACACAAAAACTTTAACCGCAGATTCAACTGCTAACCAATTCATAAAAAAATCCCTTTTCAGTAATGAAGATTGTCTGAAATATGGAAGCATTGTTAATCCCAGACCGGAAAATCTTTCTTGACAAGTAAACCTTAGAAACCGCTAAGACTGAAAGCAATGGTAGTCAAACCAGGTTCCACTTGAAACCAGACATTATCGGACAAAACTACTGACACACACAGAATTATGTAACAGAAAGCCCAGAAAATACTAATCATCAAAGCGACATGCATGCAACAATGAAACTACCATGTTCAAAGATCACAACTTTTTTGTTTACAGAAAGAAAAGACTGATCAAACTCATTAGTCCTCGTTATGCAATCATAATCTATGAATCAATATAGAAATATACAGCATCCAATTAACGACCTAATTACAAGAACTCACCAATTAGACAAGCAAGACTCTGCAAGAGATCAAGGGTGGATAGGGAATTTTTAGAGAATATGAAGTGCTTAGATATGCCGGGTATATATATAGCTAATAAATATTTATTAAAAAAGAATTGTTACACTCCACGTCTAACAGTACTAGGTAATGTTTTTATTTTTATTTTTTGAAAACTAGGTAATGTATTTATATTTTATTTTTATAAAAACATATCGAAAATCTTTGCCATTAAATGAATAATTAATGAATTTTAAGGTGGGAAAATAACATTTTTCTATTGAAAGTGTGAAAAAGGAAGTAACCTAAAGCCTAAAGGAGTGTCGCAGTGAGGAGATGCTCGTTTTGGGTACACAAGGAAGGAACAATAGCACAGGGACGTGGGGTGAAATCAGGGCCGTAGAACAAAGATCGTACGGCGAGAAGGAAAAAGGAAAGAGAGTAGGTCGGTGATAAGGATGGATTATAGTGCCGAAAAATGACGGGAAAAGTGGGGGGAGGCAAAAGCAAGCGTAACGGACTCCTAACGTGTCCCATATTTGTGACACTTGCACGCAACACTTGCTTTTGACGGACATCTTCCTTTTTCCATTTTTTTTTTCTGTTTTTTTATAAAAACACTACATCAATGTTTGTGATAGGAATGGGAACTCTCACCTTACTATTAAATGTTGTTTCTCATGTCTTGCGAGCTCCTTTTTAAATTCTTTATCATTCCCTTGAAGGAATGTCTTGTGATCATATTGGTATCTCTGTTTTATACTTTCTCTAACTAATGCACCTCAAAGAGTTAATATCTCACCACAGAAATTCGATTCTGTGAATTTCATTTAACGGGAGACACAGATGTGTCATTTGAGCATAAGGTCTGAACTCATTTTAGATGAATTTAATCATCTTTAAATATTATTTGGGCTTAATTTTCTTATAAAATATTTTATTAAAAGATATTATTAAAGAAAAAAAAATAGTTAAATAGATTTTTAAACTTTATATGATATGATAGAGCAATTATACCCCTGAATTGTCAAAAGGTACAATTAAAAATTTCAACTTATTAAAATAGGTCGAATAAGTGCAATTTATTGGTAACCAACAGATTACTAGTAAAATTACGCGATTGATAAAAAAATTGTGGTTGTTCACGCGACCAAGTCAATTGTTGATCGACTAGATTGGTTGCCTTTTTTAAAAAAAAAAATCGACCTCATTGCTTAAATTTTATTTTTTTTTTAAAAAAAACATATAACATCGGTTTTAAAAAATCGACGCCGCATCATTTATTTACAATGTCATGCCTAACTACATTGCCAAATAATCGACATTGTATGTAAATAAATAAATAAAAAGCGACATTAAAATGTTTTCTGTAGTAGTGATTGAACACTATATCAATGTTAGCTTTCTCCGAAATTAAGACGGAACATAACCACTCTATGTCACATCACTTTTCTCAAGTTTGAAACTTTAATTATTATGTATTCCATATGATCCGTATCAAATTCAAAGATGATGTTGCACTCATATGGATTTAAAAAAAAAAATGTTCATTGATTCAACGTGACGATGAGAAATGCCAAAATGAACAACGAACTTAATTAGGTATGAAAAACCCCAGAAAGAAGGAATAAATAGAGATTTAAAGGCAGGACTTTGTTAATAAAGACGTCGTTAGTCGTTACGCGAGATAGTTAAGAGGAGAAAGGCAAGGGCAAGTAGGCATTGCATTGCATGAATTGTGTGTAAAGATGGAAACCGCTGGCATTATTTCAATGTGTGGCGATGACATATCCAACATTTGCTGATATAATATTAGGCGTGTACACAACATCTCGTAACCAATCCACTAACCGTAACCGTATCTATAAAAGACGAAATCTCCTCATTCTCATAGCTTTACACTTCGACCCAATAGAATAGTGGAGGCAAATTATATCGTGCGCCGCGGTGCATAATCGATTATGCACCGCGCGTCAAAACGACGTTGTTTTATTTAATGAAAAGAAACATAATCTTCGCAAAAAATAACTATGTTCTTTAGTTTCATTTTGTATACACTGCAGTTTCAGTTCAACACAACTACAGTTTCATTTCGATATAACTACAGTTTCATTCAATATTTATACACTCAAATATGTGAAAATGTTATTTTATTTTATTTTATATACACTATAGTTTCATTAAAACACAACTACATGATCATTTCAATATAATTACAGCTACAATATACATTTAAATATGTGAAATGTAATTCAGTTTCATTTTATATATACTGTAGTTTCATTTCACCACAACTACAGTATCATTTTAATATAACTGCAGTTTCATTTGATAATATAAAAATAATACGTGAGACAGTATCGGTTTAGACACATTGTAGTGTCACTCTGTTATAATTACAAAAACAGCGTCGTTTTGACGCGCGGTGCATAATCGATTATGCACCTGGTGCAGGATATAACGACTGAATAGTGGAAGGAACTAAATGCAACATATTCAAACGCAACATCCTCATCGTATCAGCCCAGCAAAAAGTGAAGACCAAGATCCTTGTTGGGTTGTTGAAATGAAAGCCCAGAACTGATGTTTGTCTGTGTATGGGTGGGCTCTAAATGGGAATCCAATCCCATCCCCATAGCAGTGGACAACAGTTTGGCCCAATGTTAAATGGAATCTTTGTCAGTTTGTCTGCTGACTTTGTAGTCCTAAGTTCACCAAAGTCATGAGCTTATTATTGGTTCAAATGTGGTCTAATGTTGGTTTAGTCTAATCAAATATATATCGCTTCAAATGAACCTGCACACAAGTCTTATGACAGCCGCATGTTCAATATGTTTTGGTCTACCCACTGTTTTTACCAAAATGTCAAAGGAAGAAATTTTGATATCTAAATATCTAGCATCTAGAAATGGGAAGACAATTTTTTTTTTTTTTTTTTGGAGTGATAATGTAAACCTACTATTACTTTATGAGTGTGTACATTGGGTAAACTCGCATGAACAGCTCAGTTGATCACAAAAGTAAAATTTGAAAAAAATGATTAGAGATCCAATTTCACGAGATGTTTTGTCAGCCCAGGATGCGAGGAGTCCTTAGGGTTAGAATTCAGTTTTTTGAAAAAAACTTGTAAATTACACATAGTTGTAGTTCAGAGATGGAATAATGAAACAAAAGAAATTTGAGGCACAAAATAGAGAAAGAATCATAAACAAGTTGAGAATAATTAGACAATACATCATTTTCTAATTACTTAGTACACAAAATTAAAAAAAATAAATAAAAAAATACGCGTATTCCAGCAGCATCTATCTTATTAAATAGCGAGGCACATGATTGGTTGGCACATCATGAGAGTGGTGACGTATTTGATGTGCACGGAAGTCAATAACGTATCTGAGTTGTCCATTTTTTTAATCAATGCTTACCTACGGCGATCCATCTTCCACACTCATCCATCTCAGCTTCTTCCCATTATTTTTTTTATACTAGTTATTATTAAAAAATATATATATATATATATATATATATTAATTTCGATCAATAAAATAAGTTTATTATTATTTTTTATAATCCAAGTTTTATTACTTCAACAAACTATATTCTGGCCTTGATTAGTAAAGTCTCCAAATAGCTAATCAAGTTTTCATTAAAATTAAAATTCATTTTGTCATTAGAAATAATACTAAATATTAATTGGTTGATTATTTGAGTTATTCATGCGCGCGTTGCTAAAGAATATTATATTAAGGTGATGAAAATGAATGGTTGGGTATGTAGGAATCTGAAGGAAGTTGCCTGGAGGTCCGTTGCAGTCTTCCATCTATAAAAACTCTCAAATTAATTACTCCTTACGTTTCAAAACGACGGCCGTGGTTGTTGACTCCATTAATATACTTAGCATAGCTTGGCAGAAATTTTTCCTTATTTATTTATTTATTTTCTTTCATTTTATAAATAAATTTAATTTTGATTGATTTAGATTTTATTTTAAGCAATAAAACAACAATACTTTTTCAATATTCAAACCTTTTGATTGGTCTTTGGTTCTTTGTATTCATACTTGAATCTATTTTCCCCTTTTATATTTTGTCTAAACAATCTCACCAGGCCACTACAAACAAACAAAAAATGATAGGATTAAACGAATTTTCAAAAAGTTGTTTAGATAATTGCTTTACTTTCACTTTTTTTTTTTTTTTTCAAATGGGTGGTGGTTTGAACTCCAATGAGACATTGACTCTTTATGCTTCAATAAGTTAAGAAAGTATATGTGAACACATACTACATTGTAATAGAGTTAGTAGTACTAAAAAAAAATATCACTGTTTTTTTAAACATGTACTCACCTGAAATATTGCATGTAAATGTAAAAAGACAAGCATTTGAACAACATAATCCACTGGATGTATAATTTTTACACTGGACGAAAAGCAGATTATTCTTAGGTATGTAACAATATACCAAAGAATCAAAAATATGTGTGTATCCTAAGTCCTCATGCTCATCCTCTATGCATGTCTCTCTAACACCCCCAACAAAAGTATATATAAATATAAAAATAACAAAACTAATTAACATTAAATATTACAAAAAAAAAAAAAAAAAAAAGTAATGAAGTAGTAATTAACATTTTCCATGTCCAAGAAACAGCTAGTGCGTTTTGTTGTTGCTATTGTTTGTAGGGTTACTATTGGATGCATTGGCCGTTGCGGTGGTATTATTATTGGTGCTATTAACAATGTTTGGCTGTGAACCGTTGAGGATGGAAGAGATGGCGGCGGCGAGAGCGGCGGTGAAGTTGGGATCGGCGGTAATAGCAGCAGTGGCGGCGCTCAAGGTGTCGGATAAACAAGGGTGCGGCTGTGGAGGCGGCAGGAGTGGGTTTTGCGCTTCATGAGAAACTTGAAGCCCAGAAAACTTCGACTGAGAATGAGAATATAAACCCTGGCCAAACACTTGCGCCGGCGTTACAGCGAAACTAGGAAGGCTATATGGGCCGCCGCCGCCGCCGCCGGGGAATTGGGAGGGAGGGAGTCTAGGGTAATTAGGAACCGAGTTGGGGGTTTGGGTGAGGTCCAACGTGACAGTGGGGAATGGTGCGGAA